GAATGTTCTTTATGCATAGTTTTTACAAAGCTGCAGATGAATAAATTAACATATAATTATTCAATAAGTGAATACATTATATGGATGTGTTTATTGCAATCGTCTGCGAATCGATTTAGTACAAACAGTTAAGTAATGGACTATCGGTGAAGCTGAAATATATTGAATTATTTGAATTTTGATTGAATTATGTGAATAATACAAAAATTACTCGATATTAAAAGCAAATAGTGCATTTGTCACCAGAAAATGGCAAAACATGGTACCAACTTCGAAAGCCCATATAAATCGCGCAAAGCAACGAAGATGCGCTTCGGTAAGTAGGGGAAAAAGACGCCGCCCACAATGTCAATATTGTTTTGAACTAAAGTAGTTCGTCAAAAAAAAAATAGTATTTGCAATGAGGTACGCCGCACAGCATTATAATTTGTAATTTCTATAAATATATAAAAGATGATAGAACACTCACCATATACAGGTATATGTGGATATGTGTAATCGTTCACAGATTGCCCAGTGACAAACGACAATGAGAGTTATAATTATTGGTACGTTCATAATATGCTGACCACAACTGTTGGATTTGGTATGGGTAATCAAATGAGTTTGAGTGTAATAGCCACTGTTGTGGTCAGTATTTGTTAAACAAATAAGGCCAGCACACTAAACAGTGAAGGAGGTTAATTTACACAAAAGGTATATTGAACGCTCTGTCATTTGCTTATTATTTATTCAATGCATACCATGTGACATTGCAATGACCATTCTATTGCGTGTATGTATTGGGAGCCTCTATCTAGCTCCTTTTTTGCTAGCTCAAGCCATAGGAGCAATCGAAAGTCGATTAACTTATTCTGAAAGTCTCGCATACGTTCAGTGGTGTCAACTAATAAGTAAACTTCATTAATATATGCTTCTTGTTGATTTTCCCTTCGATATTTATTTATTACTTACAAAGCTATTGTTTATGTCTCCCATACGTCATAAGCAAAAACACAGTAAGCACAGCTTATATAATACACTCATTACAAAGCAAACAACATGAAATCCTGATCAGCAGTTATGGAAAAATATTGATGCAAATATAATGTAATTAATAATTCTCCTTTTTAATGTTTTTATGACATTCATATTTCACAGTGTCTGATTTGACCACAAATATTTATACAAGATCCTGAAACTTTGAAACAATTCCATGTTATTTACTGCTTCACCAAATGCTGTAATTGTTTATGTTGCCTTTTTTTCTCTTCCTGTATAATTATCCATTGTACGATAACTATTAGTGGCTTTTGCTAGAAAAATGTATGCATTAACTGGCATCCAGCTGTAGAGAAATTAAAAATATATGCTGTAACATGAATTATTATTAGTGGGGTTGTGTAGTTCTGAAATTGATCGGTCCTATGCTTGTTTTTAGTATAATAATAACAATGGTCTGAACTTTTGAAGGTGACATTCTCAGGCAATTGAGTACGATGCTTTGAGCAATGAACGAACTAATGAATATCAGGTAACAATACTTACGTCTTGAAATACGCAATGAAATACATAATCTTTGGTATGCAAAGTTGTCTTCTGGTTGACCTGCACAGCGTGGACCACCTTGTCAGCCACATAATCTGGTTCAAGCATGGGAATATCTCTGGAGACGGCAGGAAATGACATTGAATATGTTATTGTCAGATGACTCATTAGTGCCAAAGTTATTTGCAGACAAGTTCAACATTCAAATTAAATGATGTATATATTATCAAAATTATTTAATTCTTATTTGGCAACCGTCAAAAAGCTATCAAGAGCGGACTAACTGACTAGTCGTTTTGCGCCTACAATTTCAAAACACATCACCAATCTTTTATATGAAAGAGAAATAATTAGAATATTACTAAAATGTTCTATGAATAGTTACCCAGTCTTGACACCATCAAACATCCCAGTCGCAATAAAGAATGGCTGCACCAACGTTGTTTGTACACCATTAATTTCAAGGTCCGACAACTCGGCAGTCAGTGCTTCATGCACGCCAACTGCAGCAAACTTACTTGCACAATACTCAACCAAGAATGGCGAACCAAAAGTACCTGCCATACTTGCCACAGTAACCAAATGACCATGATTCTTTGCCACCATTGATGGTAGGAAGGCTTTCAATGTCTATAAATAGAGAGAATAGTAGTATGTAACAGTACAAATCAATTTATTATATATTTTCTATAAATTATTGCACCCGTGTTTGTCTAATTTCAATATATGAACATTTCATAAAAATAGGTGAGAAACAACTGGAATCTGGATGTAACTAGTCAGTAATTACTTGCACAGGATCGCTGATATCAAATAAACCTGTTCGAGCTTTGTGTTATGTTACTGCGCGCGCGCGCCGACGACAGGGAGCGACGAAAATCGATTTTATAACCTGTCATTCGTGCGTCCAGCTATTTGGTCCAGTGCGTTCCAATGCGCACGTGTATTGTCACGTTCGATACGAGTCTCATGCCACGTTTACCACACAGCGACCAGCAATATTAAATTGCGGTAGTTGTCGCGCCACGCATGCGCGAGATATATGGGTCTCATACAATGAAAGATGGCGACTTTGACTGTTTCGCAGATCAACGACTATAAACTGAGACGTTACCAAGCTTTAATTAGGTATTTTTAGGTCATTGGAAGGTATCGCAGGAGTCGCCGGCGGTAAATAGTGCAAGTCGCGCAAAGGATAAACCTTATACGCGTAATTTCCAATACAAGAGCACATTGGATAATTTGAAAATCAATGTTTGTCAACATAATTGTCGCACATACGCAGCGCAACGACTTTAACAAATTAAACTGTTGAAGCTAACCCTCGGAGCAGAACAAGATTTGCGTATGCGGGTAGTTAAAGAGTGATGATAAATCAGATACATGTTATATGCTAAATTCCGATAACGATAACATGAAACGGTGCTTTGAAAGTTTGTTAACATCTACAATAATGGACACGATAAGCCAGAGCAAAGGTCATTTTTTGACTACCCTAATGAACTCCAATAAGCCACAGCAGCTTCAAAATTACATACAATGTTCTTCTGCATTACAGTTATGTTATAGTTACGCTCGGGGAAACAGTTTGTTTATACATACCCAAAATATCGACATTGCATTCACCTCCATAGTTCTTTCAACTAATTCATCTGGACAATCGAGAAAGCGCCTTCCCGCCACGATTCCGGCGTTATTAACGAGTATCGTGACATCACCAACGTCATTTTTGACTTGTTTGGCGAGACGGTAGACTTCGTCTTTCTTAGTCACATCGCATCGATAGCTGTGGGCTTGTCCACCTAAATCAGTGATCTGTTTTACTGTCTCGTCGGCGCCATCCTTGTTGATGTCCCATATTACCAACGTTGACCCCAGCTTGGCAAAGTTTATTGACATAAGCCGTCCAATGCCACTGCCAGCGCCTGTCACAAGCACGATTTCACCAGCCAGCGACTTTTTCTGAGCTGGGAGGAAGAACTTGATTATTGACCAGAATATGATGATCCAGGCACCGAGCCAACCGTATAGTTGCTGAAATAATCCCATGTCGACGCGACCTTGTTCAGTACTACAGTGGCTGCTCCATTGTCAAATAAAACAATACGGGTCACCAGCGGTGGCGCTCGGCTGTTATTACTGACACCGGCATTATTGCATTATTGACTGATAGTGTTGTCTCAGCGATTGTGTGTTTTTTTCCCGTTATAACGAGGTATAACAGGAAAAATGTTTAAAACGGGAAAAAGTCGTTATACATAACAAAATATCAGGTAATCTCCATTCACACGCAAAATTATAACTACGTGGTTCTAGGCCTCACGCAAGTTCTGTCATGCGATTGGTCAGTCCCGTGCCGCCCTGGACTATCCCAAACTATCATGATAGTACTATGCCCGATTATAATAAGAAAATGGCTATGATATATCGGTAAAATTATGGAGTTCCACGATACAATCTATTTGCACGGGTGTGAACAATTTATGTGGTTTCATCAAATGACTAAAAACGAAACAAAACAACGTGTTATAGCTTCACCCTGGTGAGTTTGACTGATGTAAGATACCGATACTCAAAGAAAGAAGTCAAACACTAAATCGAAAACGATATCGTAATCATTGAAACATTGAATATCGTAATAAATAACGAACAAAAGCGTCGGTCTGAAACGTAATTTGCTACATTACTATTACTCAATAAAACACGCCTTTTGTATGATATAGGGGTGAAGGAAAATGTTACACACTAGTGCACAGGTCCCAACGCTTCTCCGTTTTTACTAAATCACTCACTCCCTTGTAAAGTACTGTGTAAGAGTTGAATTTTCGACCGCTGATATTTCAGCTGTGAGAGTACTAGTCATAAACAATCGCGGAAATTTCTTATTCAAAATTTTATCAAACTAACATTTCAGGCCATAAATTGACAAATACTCTATATACTGATTGCCTGCGACATTCACACTGTCATAATATCAAGCTTTGATATATGTAAATGTGTGAAAGTTGGGAGGGCACGAAACTGCATTTAGGTAAATGATCCTCTTTTTTTTTATAAATTATGTGTTCTTCTGAATTTCGATGACGGTTTACCAAACACGAAAAAAAATATAAATTTTACATTGAAAAATAGCAAGAGTTACTGCACTATATACAAAAAAACATCTTGGTAAATAGTATGTGTCTTACATGGTATCTGTAGTTCAATTGTCTGACTGGGTACACTTCAACACGGGGTAGTCCTGTGTTCAGGAGGTACGTGTTGAGAAAAAATAGTAATATACATTGTTGCTCATTTTGATCAATTATCATGACCAAACAGTAACTGCTGCGCTATACATCTTTATATTTAATCCGGTCGGCAGAAAATACACATTGTATACACAAAGTATTAGTCGTCGCTGTTCCCCCATAAATCTCATTGGGACGTCCATCAGTGAAACGCTTTTCTAAGGCACATAATTACCTGTTTCTCAATCGTGTATAGCTTGGTACTTTTAATGATTTATAAAAGGATGGTATGCAAGGGTATGCTATGCCAATCAATTTATACGCGCATTCAAGTGGTCACGCGAATTGCGATATTTAAAACAAATTGCAAGAAATCCACATTTCTGGTAATCCCAATGAACGTTTATGGTACTAACTTTATGTATTCCCAATTCGTAAGGGGTCAATATTCGAATGCTCGCAAGAGTTTTTCATGAGATTTTTTTTGCATAATGAGCAACTATATTTATTTACGACTATCGACACAACAAACCCATTTCTCAATTAACGAGTGAAGTGCGCGATGACGTCATTTGAAAATGTTCCAATGCTATTCAATATTCAGCCTATGGTTTTGGTTTGAATAAATGTATAAATATTTATTTATAAATATCTATAAAGTTGGAATAAATGTGCTATGTCGATACAGAGTATGACACAAAACAGGGGATGTTACAAATGTGTTATAGCTATGCGTTTTTGTATAAATCAAAAATTGTGTTATAACTATATGTTTTTTTTTTGTATAAATTAAAATGATTGTTAGATTTCAAATTCACAAATCTAGAAATTGTATTATTTTAATTAATATTAATGACTTGGTGCAACCATCGAATCAGCAAGAACTTCATTCTCAATAAGTGTTTACGTCACATGAAGGCATACACAGCCTTACTAGATTCAAACTTCCTTCCAATCAGAGAATTCCATTCCTATAGCCAAACAATGGTCTTAATGGTCGCTTCTGGAGCCCGCGACTGATGCCGCTGTCCTGGTCGTGGCATTCTGACTGGGTCGCCCATCGCGTCGATGAACTAAGTTAGTCATTTGCCTCATCGACAGACCGACGTAAATTGTATTTCCTCGGTGTTGACTTCTCGGTAAATGTGATAGTACGGAGGCACAGTTTGCATAAACAAATGCAAGTATCCCTGTTTTCAAGCTGTTGATGAAAATCGCTGTTGTTTCTTCTTCTGGGATGGCCATCACCCACGAGCTTTTCAGCCATGTTCGTTCGTTCAAAGTATTCGTGAAATCCCCGGCCTCCCGTAGCATTTTAAAATACCTATTACACAAACAAAACTTTTGCCGGTAACATAAACCATTATGGTTTGACAACACCCAACACTTTTAAATTATACGAAATTAGAGCCCAGTGACTGTGAAACTGGTTCCTGCTTTTTAGTGTCAGCAAGTTCACTGGCAATGAAAACGTTACATATAATAACAACAAACTCCCCGCCAACCCATAATGCACTCAGCACAATATGTGCTCCATATATGTCGCACAAAGTGAGCTTTCGTCCATTATGGGTTGGCGGGTCGTTCAGTAACATTAAACATTAACGCAATCTGTGAAACAACCCTGAGATAATAAGATGGGTGTCACATCAGGTGAGCGCCACCACTGGTGACCTATTTTGTCGTATTTGTCATCAACTGGGACACTACACAGCGTCAACGTTGGATTAGTTCAGTAACTTTACGGTTGGCTTGGTCAATAATCAAATTCTTACTTCGTTCCAGCTCAGAAAAAGTCGCTGGCTGGTGAGATCGTGCTGGTGACAAGCGCTAGTAGTGGCATCCGACGGCTGATGTCAATGAACTTTGCCAAGCCGGGATCAACGTTAGTCACATGGGACATCAACAAGGATGGAGCCGACGAAACAGAAAACAGTTCACTGAATTGGGTTGACAAGCCCACAGCTATCAATGCGACGAGAATAACAAAAGACAAAGTCTATCGCCTCGTCAGCAAAGATGTTGTTGACGTCTCAATCATCACAATAGTAATGCCGGGGTCGTGGCAGGATTGTTAAGATGAGTTAATATAAAGAACTATGAAGGTTGATGCGATGTCTATATTGTTGGTATGTGTAATCAAACTGTTTTACTGAGCGTATTGAAAATTGACATCTGGAAACATATTACTCTACTGGATAGACTACACGACCTCTATTGGAAGCCCTGTTTTGACTTTGACTTTGCGTTTTCATTACTTGCATTGTTTTTTATTGTTGGGCTCTGCATACTAATATTAAAACGACGAGTTACAAGCTCTACTATAATATTTTCCATAACGTTGCTATGGCAATCATTTATACAAACACAGCAACATATTTACTGGCGAGGGAAATTATGTATGGGGAGACCATGATGAATATTTTCATTAGTAATATGTATAGAGCTGAAAATAACAAAAAAAAAAAGTATAAACATATTTAACAATTAATTAATTTGTTATTGGACAACGCTGAACATACATGCGAGAGATTAAAGATACAAATACAAATAATTCAAATCATTAACTTAGTTAAGTATGGAAGAACGCATTTCAGAATAAGTGCCAACGGCGCAGGTTAATCGACTTACAATCCCTGACAACTCTTACGCCCCACCGCGCGCCGTGGGATTTAGTGAGAGTACACACTATACGTTTACAGAAATAAAGCATCATATATGCGATGCATTGCCTTGTTAAAATATGCAAACACCTAGGCAAACACCTAAATGTCTTACATACGAACACCTAATTACATGAAGCGCGAAGAACACGTGCACATAGTATTTGAAACATAAAGTGTCTAACTGCCATCGCTGATTGGCTGTTGAGTTGGAATGACAATTTCTGGTCCACGTGACTAAGTCTGATTTGTTGAAGGGTCAATTCAGGTAATATGGCGTTATGTTTACCTGAAGTGGAAATAGCGCAGCATACTGTGAAAAAACTTAATTATCATCGTCATGAATATTTCATTTTTTGACATTTTCTAAAGAAAAAGAAATTGTTTGCTTTTAATATCGAGCAATTATTATTCACATAATTCAATCAACACTCAAATAATTCAATATATTTCAGGTTCACCGAAAGTCCATTATCTTAATTGTTTGTACTAAATCGATTGCAGTCACAGACGATTACAAAAAAAACATCAATAGTGTATTCAGTTAGTGAATGACTGAAGAATCACATATGAATGTAGTTTAGTAGAAACTATGAACAAACAACTTTCATTCATAAGTTGTCGCATGCAGGGGTTCACGATGGATATTATATATAATAGTCAAACTGCGTGTATTCTTCCTTGTATCAGGTGACACCACGCCTGAACACATGAATTGTCCTCCTGATTGTACATTGAAAAAGCATATGTCACATGAACGTACATAAAGGACGAATTTGGACTTCTGGTTAGGTTTTTAAAAAATAAAAATACTACACACACACAAGTTTAAATAAAACCATTGACGTCATGTGAAAGAATCAACAATCATTAATAAGAGAGTTAATTCCATAAGATTCTAAATAGGCTAATTGTAAACCCCCTATACCTGTATTCTTATGCATAGTTCTACTGATAACTATACAGAACCTGTAAACCGGCATTGTCTTTGATACCTAATTGTACTATAAGTTGTATAATGTATTTGTAAATCAAACGTTGCTAAGACTGTACGGGTTTAGTAAAGGTTGGCCAAGGCATGGGTTCGACAACAACCGCAGTAGGTAGAGATTGTGGGTTCTGGGAAATGCAGGCATTAGAGACTCATTTCAAGTTAATCCTGAAATCATATGATAAATGAAACCATATTATAAAAGCCCCAGG